GGATTCTTGTTGAACCGTCTTCGTCCGCGTTCATTAGCGGACTCAGAAGCCAAGGGGGGTGCCTCGGGGCCAGTTGTCGCAGACCCAGACACTTCAGGCACAGGTTTGGCGAACGGCTTGTTGAATCGTCTGCGTCCATGTTCATTAGCACGCCCAGAAGCCGCGGACCGGGATGCCTCGGGGGCAGTAGTCGCAGATCCAGAAGCTTCAAGCACAAGTCTAGCGAACGTCTTGTTGTGGCCGTTGCGTCCGCGTCCATTCACACGTCCAGAAGTAGCAGGCCCGGATGCCTCAGGGACAATAGTCGCAGACCCAGACGCCTCAGGCATATGTTTCGTGACCGTCTTGTTCTGCCGTCTGAGACCACGTCCATTCGCGGGTCTAGAAGGTGCAGACCCGGACGTCTCGGGAACATGTTTTGTAGATATAGATGCCTTGGGAACAGGTTTCGCGAATGTGTTGGTTGTCGGGTTGAAGGTCCCGGAGATCAAGACCACTCCCTGAGGTAGGGCCGGATGGTTCATGCTGGAGAACTAAAGTTTGAGAGTTAGAGACGCGGGGAGGAGTTGTTGGAAGGAGGACTCACGCGTGTCAATTGTGCTGGAGTCATGTTGGGTAGTACAAAGCTACCGGGAGCATCTCCTAAATTCGGTCAGTCACAACATGGAAGCAAGAGACAGAACAGGCTTACCAGGCTGGCTGAGGAACCAACATCGGGCCGCTTTATGCGTGTGGCTTCCGCAGTGAGGGCACTTAGGGCGCGAGCGAGTTGGAAGATCAAGCACGACAGCCGGAGTTGGCGCAACTGGTGGTCTCAGGATGGGATCGGGACCATTGAAGGCACGAATTTCTCTCAGCGTAGACGAAGGGAACTGGTCGAAATGGAGGTGGGCCCGAGCCACGTCAAAAATGTTAGGATCTCCGGAAGCAAGAATAGCATCCAGCAAGGCGGAAATTTGGTTGATATAGTTGTGTTCCATTTCGTCAAGATACTCTGCCGTTACTATTGTCCGCTGGGGTTCGGTGACGGCAGTGCCGGCAGTGGAAGCGCCATCAGAAGAATGAAGGAAGTTCAAGCTGTGGAGATCGAAGGAAGCAACGGAGCTGCTGGGCGTGAATGTGACGGAGCCAGCCTTGGATTCATCGAAGGAGGACGGCATCTTCCCTGGACGTATCAGCGCACCTGTATCATGATAGCAAAAGAGTAGCAAGTCAGTGCCTACCTCGAGCGAGTGGTGGACCAAAAGACCGGTCGAGAGATAGCATAAGAGCGATGACACTTGACGAACTCGGGATCGAAGGATAGAAAGAGTGATGCACGAGATGCAACAATAGTGGGAACGCCCTGCACCTGGAAGGGCGCAGGCGGAAGAGCAATAGAGGGTGCAAGCTTGCAGATTCGAGATGCGGTCGGATAGCCGCAGTGTGGTTATGCGAGGTTGAAGTATTGAGAAAGCGAAGAGAGAGAGAAAGGAAAGAAAGGTCAGCTGCGAGAAACCTGTAGGAAATCAGATTCGCGGTGTTGAGTCACGAGACTAGCGATTGCAGCTGGCGCAGCTGGCGCAGTTGGCAAAGCTGCCAGTGCCTGAGTGACTCGTTGTGCAAGTCGCGTCTGAACAAAACGCAGCGTTTGGTGTGTGGCTGCCAGTGCGGTGACGGGTGTTTGGAACGCATCCCATCTCCTCAACATTGATAGAAAATACGAGAACAAACTTACTTGCTGTGTCGAAGAGATAGAATTGATCATTATATTACTAATTCAACATGTCGCTACAGACAATGTCTACAATGTTTGGTATGGATTACCGACTTCATCGCCCGAGTTCTCTCGTTGGCCTCGGAGCTCCTCAGTCGTTCTGCAAAACCAAAGAATCAGCTAGATTCGAAAGGCGAGTTCCAGCTCCGAGGAAGTTGGCGGTCCCAAATAACGAGTCGTGGTCAGTCACTGTATGAGTGAGTCCTTGTGCCAACCAGTGTCTTCAACGCCATGCATCATTGTCCAAACCCAACACATGTCAGTGAATCAACTCAGCTTGTCTTGATCCGAAACGGACAGTAGCTAGCACAGGCCTTGGTCCCTGTCTTGTTCCTCAACATTGTTCTAGTACGTATTTCAATCTTCCAACAAGAGATTGCCAAGACTCCAGGACTACTAGCACGGCAAAATGCAAAAATGATGAGACTGGGATTCGAACCCAGGCCCCTTTCGAGACTGCGAATTGTTGGAGTTGACGAATCAACCTGAACACAGCGCCTTAGACCGCTCGGCCATCTCACCTTATTGGTTGGAGTGCGGCGACCCTATTTTGTACTAAACATGCTTACCAAAACTGCTAACGAATTGGACTGACTCGTCACAAGACAAACATCGCACAGCAGCAAAACAGCAACGTTGACATGTTTCAAGCACGCTCAGTTCAATGTCTAGGTCCATGCTTGATTTTCTCCTTATTTCGGCTGTGTAGTAGAAGAAAACTGTCTGTTGAATTCCGGATTTTGACCACACTTTTCTCTTCACAACACCTAGAACCCCCCTAACGCCCTTTCGATGAGTGTGTCCAATGTCTTCGTCTGTTTTTCGCACTGTCTGGAGAAGTCGCCCTGTTCGCTCTTAAGGGCCATAGTACTTTATCTCGATATCAGGTGGTGATCCATAGATGCGGCCGGCGGTCATGAATCCAAGAACCCAACGGCTTCAGCCTCTAGTAACTAAAAAGGGAAAGATGTGGAAGACGGGCAACGCCTCGGACGCAGTAGACTCACCATGGGGTCTTCTACTCCGAATCCTTGCGAAAATCTCATCAAACAATTGGCTTTCTGGCCGAGCGGTCTAAGGCGCTGTGTTCAGGTTGAATCTTCAACTCATTACAAATTCGCAGTCTCGTAAGAGGCTTGGGTTCGAATCCCAAGGAAGTCATTCTTTTGACCTTGAGTCATGTCTTTTTGCCTCTCATCAATTTTTTTTTTCAGTTGTGCGCCGTCTCAATCCCCGTGCAACCAGTTTTCGTAAGGTGGAGCGAACGGGTGGTCCGTGCATGATCTTTTCAGCATTAGCAGAGCGGCAAACGGGGGAGAGACACTGTTTGCTCTGACATAGAGAAATCTACCATGTTCTTAAACAAGAAAAGTGCGTGTTAATCTGAGCCACCCATGGCTAGTCTTGAATTATGTGAAGATAATGGCTTCCGGGTTTTGTTTCCTCTTCTCATTTTCTTACGGGATGACGGCATTTACGTGCTTTCACATCAACCCTTCCCACCGCGAAGACCTCAACAAGCAAAACACAGCGAGAAAATGAGTAACAGCCACAATGGTGTCGTTATACCAAGCGAATTCATGACACTGCACGTTTACAACCTATTTCTGTCATGCAAGTACCAAGAAAGGACCCAACGGCATCAATCACCACCGTAACCAGTCTATAGTCTAGGGTAATGGCATGGACTCGGGTTTGCGAAGAGCTTGCAAGTCAGCATTCGTGATGGTCAATATGCTCGCCCGAATCCAACCAACCAGGTGGTACTTTGGCCGAGCGGTCTAAGGCGCTGTGTTCAGGTAGCTGGGTTCTCCCACATTGCCGTTTCGCAGTCTAGTAATAGGCGAGGGTTCGAATCCCTCAGGTATCAGTGCTTTTGCCGTGTAGTAGTTCGGGATCTTCCTTTTTGGTCGTGGGGTGTTTTCTAACATCAGTCCAGCCTGAACCATGCTCAACATGTCACTTGCATGAATTACAAGCCGGGTAGCTGTCATGAAGTATGCTAACTTCTCTCGTCAGAATTTGACGATGTGGAGTGGAGTTCTGGTTCATGTCGTGGATGATGCGTGAAGTCTTCCGTCCACCCACAAACTAAAGCTTGGTAGAATACCTCCGCTAAGCTGAAATGTCTCTTCGCTGGGGATTTGACTCCGGACAACAATGAAGACCGTTAGAACGGGATGGATATCCGTTCGTGCTCGGCGTTTCCGTTATTAATCAGAACAAGACTGAAAGGTCGTTATCAATGCTAATGAAGATGAAGTCAATGACTTTCGAGGCGGCGTTCTGTCATACATTAATTGACGAATCGTTAATGGCAAGCAGCGACAAGATTTCACAGTTTTTTGTGACTCCAACGCGGCACTGAAGTCAACGAGCAATCACATCTCAATCCTTGTTTTGCTAGTTGGAACGCTATGTAGGACATCCCCCTCAAATGCGGGGTTGAATGCGAGGTTTGGCTTTTTTGCTTGAATAAGAAATAGCTCTACGTGAGGCAGGAGTATGATTTCGATGTGAGGGTGGTTTGACTGTCAGTGCGAAACTTTCGTGTTGTCTGGGCGCTCAATATTTACACCGTCGTCAAATCACCCACGTCATGATTAACTATATGATGCTAATACCGCACCGAGCCCGTTAAGCAATAAAGCAAAGCCGCCTCCCATTCCTTGATATGCCGGGTCTTTTCCAGTATTTTTACAAGTTTGTGCGTCGTTTCCACGCCATTAGACCTGGAGAGCACATAGCTGCGGGATTTATGATCCGCAATTTGAGCAAAATTTGCAACAAATAAGGTGAGATGGCCGAGCGGTCTAAGGCGCTGTGTTCAGGTTGATTCGTCAACTCCAACAATTCGCAGTCTCGAAAGGGGCCTGGGTTCGAATCCCAGTCTCATCATTTTTGCATTTCTTGACATTTGCCACCCTCTTTTCGTGCTGCTACAATCATTTTTGCTTTATATTTAGGTCTCCAACGCTCCCACCCACTGGATACTTGCAAAGGTAAACAGCCCACATTCTTTTTTTCTTCTTTTTTTTTCTTTTAAAAGAAAGAGGCGACCCTAGTAACACCTTCAGAGGGAGGACCAAAGTCAACCAGTAAAAAACAACTACCCAAGGTTAGTTAGTAAGCGGCTTGCCCCACACTGCCAACGGGTAACAGTAAAAGCAACGGCATCGACAGACGGCCCAACCTGTCTCCTAAATAACACACAATCACACGACCAGCAGCAAAAAAAAAAAGCTGAGGGACATCGGACTTGAACCGATAACCTTTAGGAATCTCGCGGCTTTGCGTCGCTGGAATCTAATGCGCTAAGCCAATTGCGCCAGCCCCCCAATTGATGTCACTGGTAGAGCAAATGACCTATTATGTAGGACGAATCTCATACCTGGATGATTTGTTCCTAGTTTCGCGATAGCATCATTCGTTTCTATGTTGTGGTTGTCAACAATGGCTTGCTGTGAAGGTTCATGAGGATGCTGGAAGCCAAAGCGACCTCCCACACCGAAAGACCTCCACTGGCGAGAGCCCCAATGTACTGGTACCTATTGCGTCGGCCAAGTCTGACGAAAGCCAGAGCCCAGACATGTCTTTCTTGGTTTACAAGAGAGAATTTGGCACCAGATGAAAACCACTCCTCGGCATAGTATTATCACGCTATTAATCTAATCAATCTGAGCCCCAACCTCAGCACACGCCGATTTGAGCCGAGCTTCGTCCCAGCCATCCCAGCTGCCCACCGTTTCCGGCAGGATGTTACCGTCGCATTGATACCCAGCTTTCTGAATCAACTCGCCGACGCCCGGGCCGTCGCTAAATACTATCATGCGCACAAACTTGCTCCCCATGTCTGCAGTGAAGAACTCCCTCGCCGGGATCACGGCTGTTTGACCCTCTCGCAAAACAGTCCAGTCGGAATGCCCCTTGATCTTCAGTCTCATCAGGCCCTCCATGACGCAGAAGCAGTGGTCTGCTGTGGTGAAGCTCATGTTTCGGTTGAAGAATGGCCTTTCCAGGTATGCAGATGATGACTCCACGGTAGAAATGGAGAAATTGTGATCAGATTGCGCCGAAGTGATGAACGGTCGTGACAGGATCCCGCCAAATATCCACTGAGGGCCGGTATTTGCGCGTAAAAAGTACGCTTCATTCCGTTCCCGTAACTGGTTTTCTGTGTCCAACCAGGAAGAAAGCTCGGGAGCTTTGTGGTCTTCTTCAACATGGAGGTCGACGGCAGGAGGTGGAGGTGTGCGCAGAAGGCTGGGGGAATCTTTCGACGGGAGCAAGATACCCTTGAATTCATGGCCCATGGCCCGAAACATGTCGATCAGATATGCTGGAGTTGACAGAGCCAAGAACTCAGTGTATGGCCCAAGTGGCATGTAGCCATACACAGTTTCCTATAGTACGATGATCAGCTGCGAAGCAATTGAGAGTACAGGAACAGGACGATTCTCACAGCAGGTACGAAAGCAAAGTCTCCGGGGTATAAGTCATGACATTTGTCGCCATTCCAGAACCGGAGATATCCTTTGGTCACTATAAAAGCGTTATCGGCGACGGGGTGCGAATAGAAGGTGTCGGGAACATCGGTTGGCGCGGCGGCCCGATAGTACACGGCCATTCCCTCATTGTTTTGGTTCGTAGGGGTGAGGATTCTTATCACGCTCTTGGTTCCAGGTATAGCAATACAATCGCCCTCATTTTGGTCAATCACATAACTCATTCTCTCGCTAGGAGGATGAGTGGTCGTTGGGATGGTCATCTTGCCAATGACTGGTAACCCAAGGATATGGTCGTCAACAAAAAACTGCGTTGATGAGAAATCGCAATACACGGATCCCAAGATACACCATGTATAAGCACGGATTTTGATGAAATGGTCGCGGGCATCTGTTCGGCCGTCCTGATTCTGTGGCTGGAAAGCTGAGCCATTTTGACCGCCATTTGCCCACTAGAGACCGGATCAACGGTTGGTCCGGCTATTCCGACAAACGAGGGGATTCCCAGGGGAGTGGACGTGTAATCCACGTGGAGATTAGTGTGTGAGGGTAATGCATTGGGTTAAGAATATCATGATTCTCAGGATCCATTACATTAAGTTCTACTCTCTATAGGTGTTGGCATCTCAGTCAGAATCCTTGGCGAGCTCCCAACACTTCCTCATGCCAGTGCCCATCGACTCCTTGTCGACATCACCCGGCGACGCCCATCGTTGTCGAGCCGATGGCTTGGCTAAAGTGTCTTTCACGCGGTCATCATCAACGTCCAGCGTGAACAGATGGACGTGCATCGTGAGCTTTATGTGAGAGAATAACCACGGCACACTGTCTAGCTCACGGACATGCTTTAGTGCCCGCTCTGCCATCTTATCCCGGGCTATCAGGTCGGACACAAAAGCAGTTGCCCTCGTCCGTCGCAACTTCGCGGTGCTATTGTCATCGGATTCTTGTAGGATCTGGCTTGGGAACTCCCACAAGCCGGCGAGAAGGCCCTTTTCTGGTCGCTTTTGGATCAGATACTGTCCATCGCTTCGGCGGATGACGCAGACAAGGGTTTCCTCGACCCTCACGGCCTTCTTGACCACCTTGAGAGGGAATTTCCGAGCATGATCCACGATCACTTCGAGGTCCTTGGTGCTCAGGCCAGTTTTGGGCTTCGCGCGTTCTTTATCGCCGGCGGGACTCTTGAACATGAACGCTGACAGTTTCATCTGTTTGCCTTGTTTGTTTTCCTTGGGAGCCGGCTTGGTTTTGACCTTGGCATTTTCATCTTCCTCGAGGCCTGGCGTTTCCTCAAGGGGTTCGCAAAGATGGCACAAGTCCTCAATGTCTTCCATCTTGGGCTTTTGGGCAGACGAAACCAGCGTCTTTCCCTCCTCATATGCACGGCATGTTGAGCTGATGGGACATTGATCGCAGTTCGGCTTAGGCGTGCATACAGTGCTCCCCAGTTCCATGAGCGCCTGGCCCCATCTGCCAGGCCGATTGCTCACATCATCCTCCGTCGTTTCTTCGGGGCCGTCTCGGGCGACGGCTTTGGCAAGCGCAGCGGCGGCAGCCCACAGTGTGTCAATGACGAGCTTGTCCGTCTTCACATTCCCCAAGAGACCAAGCTGCCTGCTGAGGACGCGCAAGACATTGCCATCGACCATGGGTACAGCGCGTCCGAATACAATGGCCGAGATGGCACCAGCAGTGTATCGGCCTACGCCGGGGACCTTTGCCTCGAGCTGTTCCACTCGCGAGGGCAGTAAACCCATCATATCTGGATCTTGGACGACGAGCTTGGCGGCTTCGTGGATCCTCGTCGCTCTGCTGTAGTAGCCCAACCCGCGCCAGGCACTCAGCACGTCTTCGGGGCTGGCGGCGGCCAGGTCATGAATGGTCTCCCACTTGGCCATCCAGTTGTTCCAGTAGTCGATGACGACGGCGACTCGTGTCTGTTGCAGCATGATCTCGCTAATCCAGACCTCGTACGCCCGGCGCTCGAGGAGTTTGCGTAATTGGGCGGCGTTGGCGTGCTCCCGCGGGTCAATCCAGGCCTTGCGCCAGGGCATTTTACGCTTGGTGCTCACGCCGTCGAACCAGGTGAGAAGTGCATCTCGAGATGCAGCATCGTCCAGCAGGGCCGGTCGATGGTAGCCGGCTCCATGTCGTCGCGTCGGAGGGACACAAGGCTGGTGCTGGTGGGCTATTCTATCTGGTGGCCCGAAAAGGCGCTGATGAAGCTGAGCGGCCTCACCTTTGCTTTTAGCCCTTGATGGTTGTGATTTCTGTCGTTTTGGCGCGGGCTCATCGCTCTCCTCGTGGGCAGACGCGTCGCTTTCCGACGCGTCGCGGTGAGATGCAGGGCGACGCTTTACGGCTTTAGCGGTGGGTTCTGGACTGTCGCCATCCGTCTTGAACTGCGATGAGATTTTCTTTGATGCTGCGCTTGCACTGGACCGCGTGGCTCGAGATGATAAGGCTGCCATTTTGCACCTCTTTGAACTGTTCGCTGAGCGCCGTCAATGACCACCCGCGGCTTGGATGAGAGCTGTTGCAAGGGAGGCAGACTCACTACAGATAAGGAGCGCGACCCCACACACTCTCCAGAGTCTCAGTAGACAGTAATTGTGCTGCACTAGTCGGAAAACATGGTCAATAGGTAGGAAAAAAAGGAACGGGCGTTTGATGAAGTGCGGGAAATTGCAATGGTGCAAATAAGCTATGACATCATCATTTAGTGAGAGACGAAATATGGCGATGGATTGCGTTAAGAGAATCTGACGGCCTTCGGCTTCACTCCTCAACTACTCATCTTCTAGTATCACGCCGCCTAAGTCTATTTGACTTCGTTCCTGGAAAGTAATCCACATTCATTAGCACTATGTCAATCTCGGTGTTTGACACACGTTCACTTCAAGTCCAGAAGACAATTATCGGGCAAAAGGCAGACTGTAGGTATTGTATTTCGCACCTCCATAATTATTTCCAAATCTATCTTTACTTGAGCATTCTAATCGTATGTCTTCGTCAATCTCATCAAACGATGCTGTCTAACCGGGGCGCGGATTTATCCCAACGGTGTAAGACTCCCTCTAAAAGGTCTCTGGATCTTCTCCGCATCATCATCCTTGAACCTCCAAACGCCTTTAGTCTCCGAATCCGACAACGTATTTCCCGTCCCTTCTGCTAATCGATGGAAAGGCTCATGCTCATGACCTGGTATACTCTCGAAGAACAGCGGTTCCCATGCTTTCCCGACCTTTTTGTCGTGCAGCCTCATTTTCCGCTGCGCTTCCTCGACTTTCTGCTTGGCTGCCCCTGCGGCCCAGAGATCGCCTTCCCTTAATGCGCCGATGACATCGTTCCACGCGTGTCGTGACTCCCATGGGTCCTGATTCTCAACGGCGTTGATATCCATTTTTGACGGTCGGTTTTCCGGGGCATCGACAGTGTACTTTTCTAAAAGCTCTCCTGTTCGCCCGTCCTTGACCTCCCAACTCTCGCTCCAGACTCCGGATATCTCGTACAGACATTTTTTTGACTGAGTTGAGTGATAGACCCGCGCTTCAAAGTAATTCTTCTTCTTCCCTCGGAAGAACCCCTTGCCCAGAAAATTAATCTCCGATACGTACCCTGAGCTCGAGATGATCTTGTATGTCCCCAAAATCTCAGGGTACAGGCATGCCGATAGGAATCCATGCACTTGGACCTCTGGGAACGGCATAAGGTAATCCTCATCGAATTTGTCGATGCGTAGTATCGTGTGTCCGAATTGACGAATATTGACTGTTCCAGAGAAGGTCATTTCTACTCTCGCGTACCCGTCTGCCCGGATACCATCCTCT